GTAACTTGCGAGCCATGTCTGAACCTTGTCCTGACCCCCACCCTTGCCATCACCAGCCTGCAACGACCAGCGTGAAGTATGGTCAAACAACCCCACATGAGCAATACGACGTGGGGGAGGCCTTCACTTATTACTAATTACATCTACAAAAGGATGTATTTCCTGCCTTCTACGCAGCAGAGGGTTTCGCCCCTAAGTTCAATCAGCCTAGAACCCGGACTTACTCTCACATGTGCTGTCCTTTGCGCTCTGATAAACACTAGGGATTCCACAGTTTCGAGAATGCAACTCATGCATGTGGACGTACATGATCACTACAACAGGCAACATTCTCCACATCATTAAACTTTTGAAAAATGATTATTTTTATTATTAATTTTTATATAAAAAATGGCAAACAAATCACTCCCCTCCCAACATAATAATTATAACACATTAAGTGAAACCACAGCCCAGCAAGACTCGATGCGAACACTGTAGTATGAATTATGATGTTGGACTCATGGGCACGAATAACAACAGCAACAGCCACCCCTCGGTGGTGGTGGTCGCGGTGACATCAGTGTGGGAGCCGGTGCCAAGCTTGGTTCATTCGGAGGCCACGTGGAGTGTAGAAGGCTCAATTCCCACGTGACAAGCCACTTCCGTTGAGCTATCATTTGTGGCCAGGTCGCTTCTGAAAAATATGCTCATAGCTCAGTGGGCTTTACCTGGTAAAATAAAATAAAATCGTGATTTGCTTACTTTTTCCTATCCTTTGCACTCCGATCGTATTTTTGTATCTTTCGTTTTAACGTTCTGCTGACCCTGCTCGTACTGGACATCTGTGAAAAAGAGCTTTATAGCTCATCGGATTACTCCAGTATAAAGATTCTGATTCTGCTTGTCTGATGAAATTGTGAAGGCCACCTTATGGGTGGACACGGGACAAGACTCAGAAGACATTAATGATACAGTTCTGCTCAATTTTGCGAGCCTCCTCCACCTGCTGTGTTGTTGCTGGAGGCCGACTGCCTCCAACTGCCCAGTAACTTCATTCGTTAGCCTACTCCACATATACTGTCAATTGAAATCTGGTACAGTAATTCCCCGATTCACGTCTCCCCCTTTTACGTCGTTTCGCAAATACGTTGTCGCTTTATTAATACCACGACCCTGATTTCCGTCGCCTCAACCCACACTTACGTCGCTGACAGCATCATCCATCCTTTCTCGTATCAGCCTCTCAGCCTTCGTCTCCACCTATATACCCTCTACGCGAACTACTTTGCGTTGCGCATAAATAAATGTACTGTAGAGTAACAATATATTTATGTACAGTATTTTGGTGATTTTATAGCGTACTGTAACTTATTGTACCCTGTTTAATTTGTGTCAAAGTTTACTGCTGTGCACTAGTGTTGAGTAGAGTATTTTTTGTAATGTAATGTAACGTTCTGGGTACGTCTAGGATGAAGATGCGCGCATTTAAAAAGCTTCGCCAATACCCTCCGTTGTCTTTGTTTAGCTGTGGTGGAGAAACTGCTTTGATTTACATCGTTTCGATATTCGTCGCACACTTCTAGGAACACATCCCCGACGTAAACCGGGGTATTACTGTACCAGAACGGCCCGTCTTCTTCTCGAGCTCGTACTGCTTAGTCCCCCCTATCTGGTCAAACAGAAGCTGCTGGGGCATGCAGTGAAACTACATGACCCAGCCAATGCATCTTTGTTTGAAGCTCACTGATGGGACTGTCCAGATATTTCAAGGAACTATGAGCTCCTCACACAGTCCAATCTGGCTGGATTACCCCAGAACGGGTCATAGGCAGGCCAGCATGAATGCATAAATCTGTCACAGGTGTTCCTGTCAAGGTGTCCACATTCACACGCAAAGAGAGGGCGCGATTGTTTCTGAGATGACCTGGACCTTGTCGAGCAAGAGGCCAGGGAGCTTCTACACATCATTACGCAGCCCATGAAATGATAATGCCACTCAACTGAAAACCTCAGCTGCCAAACCCGGAGCTGATCATCTGCACACTGCCCAGATTTGGGAACTCCTCCGCCCTCTCCGCTACCACCGCAATGCGGATAGAGAGGGGCGAGGATACAGTGCTCAGTGACACAAAGCATCAGGACAGGTGTTCTGGTGCAGGCGATATTTTTGTTTACATCAAAATTTCGAGTCAAAACTTCCAACTCCTTCAAAGAACCATGCCTAGATCCACACGCGGGCATCAACTGCCCCACCACTACTGTACCTGCACTAAATGGAATCTCCCTCGGCACAGACATTCATCATTCCAAACCAGTGGCGCGGTGTGCAAGGAATGAAATGAGACCCCCTTTCCAATTTACCCCCCCCACTTTCGTAGACCGGCGCCTGGGCCCCAAAGGCTCGTGGCTCCCGTTGCAGTTGCATCGCCTGCACACTCGGAAGCTGTTACTGCCGCTTAAAACCACGCAAGTCAAAATGGACGTTTAGTAACGTGGAGGCCAAGGGGCACGTCTGCTTAACACTCGGGCGCTTGGCTCTAAACTCTGACCTCTGACCCTTAAGCTGGGTCCTTAGCGACTTTGAGTGGTGGTGGGGGTGTGTGGATCTGGTGCTCCGAGGGCACGGACTAGCGCTCCAGGTAAGCTGTGTACCGAGTTTTTACGTATTTAAAACCATTATCCATGCATGCCACTGAAATTAAACGCGTACTGATATTTTGCTGCACGGTTTGAGTCCGCGTGACAGAAATTCACCGATGCACCTGGCAGAGGAGTGGTCAAGTGGCCATCGAGTTCCATGAGTGGGCATTCGGTAGCGAGTACCCCAAAATTCAGCGCTTGTTTGTCCATGTCTTTTGGAATCTCAATAGCCGAGCGCGATTTTTAAAGAAACTCTCGGGTCTGTAAGACTCAAGTTTTTCTGCACGTACCAATTATCTATCCAGTGCAGTAGTTTAACATTGCAGTTAACATTTAAGGCTCAAGCTACTGCAACAAAAAAACCCCGTGAGTTAGCGGGAGAGATTGTAGAGAACTGATCAGAATGACTCTGGAAGTATATCTTACTCACGGTAACCAAACCGCGAGGTGAATTCTTCAACCTTATAGGTGGCCCCTCCACAGCCGCGGCCTCCGAATGGATCGCGAGGCCGAACCAAGGAGGCCTGGGAGTCACAGGCCCAAGTCTGTGTGGACCTTCTCACGAGAACAGCGAATGAGTGTCGGTTCATGCCACCGCAGTGCTCGTAGCCAGGCTGGATGCATCTTGAGGTCAAGCGGAGTGGTGATTTCAGGACAGAGGAGATGCTATGGGTTTTATAGGGTGGATAGCGGTGGACGGAGGGGGTCGTTCCCTGTCCATTTTAGGCACGAAACACATTGGATCTGGAACAGCAAACTCGCTACAGTTATACAGCACGGTCGGGGGTAGTTGGGGGGTTTAAAAAGCATCAACAACAAAAAAAAACACGGCGGTATCTTCGGGCGACACAAACACGGCCCGAAGGGGGACGGGGAAGTGCTCGAGAGAGTGAACACGACGTGCCCGCACACACACACGGGCACACACACGCACGGGCACACACACGCGCACGGGCACACACCCACACGCACGGGCACACACCCACACGCACGGGCACACACCCACACGCACGGGCACACACCCACACGCACCCGCACCCGCACACACCCACACGCACCCACACGCACCCGCACGCACCCGCACGCACCCACACACACCCACACACACAAAGGCAAAGATTCCCCATATAGCCTTAACAGACTGTAGGGGCAAGTGCTGTTAGCAAGCACCTGTGAAGGCCGGAACGGTACACGAGGGGGTGGGTGGCCAGCACCACGCCCGACCGCCTTTGTCTCCCTAGTGACGATGTTAACACACAGCACCAGGTACTCATTTTAGGCTGAGTCGACCTAGGGGAGGCCCAAGACCGGTTCAGATAATCATTACTGGTGATAGTGGCCGTGAGCGGGAATCGAACCCAGGTCGCCGGGTTCATATCGCAGCGCGCTAACCGCTACACTACCGGGCACGCACACACACACGGGCACACACACACACACGCATGGGCACACAAACGCACACACGGGCACACATACGCACACACACGGGCACGCACACACACGGGCACGCGCGCCACTACACAATTGGCGCACAGCAGGAGCACGTGCGCGCGTAGAAGAAGTCTGCACGTGGGAGCGAGGTGTGAACTTGGGGGGGGGGGGGTGTCACGAGTGTGACACTGGAGACGATGTTGTGGGTCGGAGGGGGGGTCATCTCTACATTGTGGGGGGGGGGGGGGGGCACTGAAGACGATGTTGTGGGTCGGAGGGGGGGTCATCTCTACATTGTGGAGGGGGGGGGCACGTGTATACAGTGATGGCGCGGTGTGTGCGACAGTGTCTACAGCAGAGTGGATTCAGGAGGAATGTGCCTTTCTCACAGGCCAATATCCATGAACAAAAAAACACGCGCATTTAATTGGTCATCTAATGCTTAGGGCGCATTGGCAGTTCCACAGTTTACGAGGTACATTTCCGGGACCGTAAAAGACGTAAGGGTAAGCGATTCGTTTTTGATAAAAAGCCGAGACCCTGCTTCTTACGCCGATGTTGGCCCACTTCACACGCGACAAGCGACGTGTACATCTCATCTCAAACACATTTGAAAGGGCGCCCCCCCCCACGCCACCGAAAGGTCAGCTGCCCCTTTGGGATCGTTTGTCTCCCACTAGGGGGCGGTGATTGGCCAAAGTGAAATCCCGAACGAGTGATTCGCGGTGGGATTTTTTTCCTCTTCGAATATCGCTAACTTCGACCGCGATGCCAGCACGCAGAATTGCAGGCTCGTTTTTCGAATGCCGTCAGGGGATCTCTTTAACATCCGCTTGCGAAGCCGGCGGGGCCGCGGTATTTTGACGGGGCGATTAAAAACTAAAGTGGCCATAATATACCACGGTGTCGGATGCACTTGGGACGAACGCTTCGTTCACTTTTTGCTGTTGTTCGTGTCAAATGATTGACTCGTTCCATAAATATGCAGTGTTTTCTAAAGCTAGAGTGGGCTACCTTCAAATTGACAGGCCCTGAGCATTATTGGGAAGATTGTGATGGCGATGTTCCCAAATTTGTGAAACTGTACACATTTGGTTCAGTGCCAGCGCTCAGGTTGACAGAAACACAGGAGCCCTCTTTGCTGTGACAGTGTACGGGCTCATGCGGTGGTGATCTCTGCCTTGTGTTCTGTGTCTGTGTCACTCTCTCTCTCTCCGTGTTTTTATTTCCTCGGGCTCAGAGTTGCAACAGAGGCTTAGCCGAGTGGAATTATTTGCGAATTCATCGATATAGGAACAAAAAACAAGATATTTAATTGTACACACATTGCAGATAATCTGTCTGTGTCATTATCTCTGTATCTCACACTCGTTCTCTTGATATCTTAGGCTCTCTCGTGATATACACTCCAGAATGCATCTCCTCCTTCTGAATCACAAGCTCCTCCCTGTGCTCCATCTACTTATCTCCATCTAACAGCCTCTCCGTAATCTCCTTACCTGCCCTCTTCCGTCCCTCCTCTCCACCATCAACTATCGCTTTGCCCACCTGACCTAGCCAGGGTCAGGCTACTTCTTGTCGATGTCACACGCAATAGTTCACAGCTGATATCGCCTGTTCCTATCTATTTCAACAGAAAAAACAACCCAGGTGCTCCCCGTCTTGACTCCCGCCCGCACTGCGTGGAGGCGTCAAATCTGCCCAGCATCAACCGGCAAACTCAGCCGCTGGTGACGACGAGGCTCAGCTCAATGGTGGAGTCTCTCCTCGTCTCAGTGTCCGTTTTGCCTCGATGCCCCAGTTCCTACGCCACCTCCTCCCGTCCATCGTCATCTGCTCCTCTTTGCACCATCACTCAAATTCGAATTTCCATTCCGTCATCTTCATCATCGTCATCGAGAGAGCCTCGAGTCGAGACTGCCCCCCTACCGCTGGCGCCACTGCCAGTGCCACCGGTCACGATCATGAGCGGCGTGACGGCCGAGCACGGCAGGAGGTAGGGGGGCACGACCCCAGCGAGTGCCGCGGATCCCGGCGCCCCCGTGGGCGGCGCCAGCGGCGAGAGGCTTGGCGAAAGCAGCGGCGACATGGCGCCCGACGGAACTGATGACGGCAGCAGTGTCGCCACGGGGTAAGGGCCGCCACCGCTGCCACCGCCACCATACGAGTTCTCGTCCTCATCGGCCGCACCGGCAAGCGCGGGTGGTGTGACTAGAGGTGGCATGGGCAGTAGCGCCGTGCGGGCGTATGGGTACGGCAGCGGGCGCGCTGGTGGCACCGAGCGGGCACTGGCTGCCGCCACGCTTGTGATGAGCGGGGGCGGCAGGATTTTGGCGCAATCGCGGCTTATCCGCTCGCTCGGCATCCCGGCGACCGCCCGGCGAGCCACACCAACGCCGCCAGCACCGCCGACGGCGAAAGCCGCCGGTGCCTCGGACGAGCGGTCGTTCTCGTCGCGGAGTCGCCCGATCTCGGCAAAAACGCTCGCCATGGCGCCAAACCGGGGGCCGAAGTCCAGCAGCTGCCCGAGCTTCCCACCCTGGAGGTGCAGCTGCTGCTGCTGCTGCTGAGCATCATCCTCGACGCTATCGTTCACCCCGGCCGCCGTCCGGTGGGGCTGGCGCCCGATCTCGGAGAAGGCTGAGGATTTGCGCACGGGCGTGAGCGCCGCGGAGGTGAAGGCCGACCGGAGCGAGGAGGCGGTGGACGGGGGCGATCCCGCCGTTGCTGCCGCTGTGGCCGAGGAGGAGGAGGAAGAGGGGGAGAGGGGGGCGGTGCCACCGGCCTCGTCCGCCAGCGTGGACGCCGACGAGTAGGAGCTAAAGCGGCGAGCGCCATCGGTCGCGAGCGCCAAGCCGGGGCCGCTGCCCTCTCCGCCCAGCGCGTGGGAGCCTCCCGCGGTGGTCGCTGCCAGCGACGTTCGGGTCAGCGTGGACGCTGACAGGGTCCGTGGCTCCGTGTCGGCGTCTGACGCCGTGGCCTGCGCAGGGCCGACAGAACGAGGATGGATGAGGGGGAGCAGGGGGGCGGGGGGGAAGGGGGGAGATGCAGATGGAGAGAGAGTGACAAAGTTAAGGTGAGGAGATAAAGATGACGAGGAATGTGACGGCACATGGAGGATGAGATGGACAGATGAGTTACGATAGGGAAAGAGGGGAACACGGCAGAGAGATGAACAGAGACAGGAAAACAGTCGAGTGAAGAGAAAACAGACAGATGTAGAGGGAGAAAGAAATATTAATTTGAACAAAAAGATACATTTAAATCACAAATCGACCCTAATTCTGCCCAACAGCTAATTTCATCTCTCTAGCTGTCCCCCAGCAAGACCCGCACCTCCACGGTGACAGATGTCACGGATTTCCCGTCGCGGGAGGCACGCGACGTGCGGGAGACGTCCGACAGCTGATCCTCGTCCTGCAGGATGCCTGAGTCCGGTAGGCGCCGACACGCGTGCTGCTGCTGCTGATGATGGTGGTGGTGGTGCCCATGGTGGTGGTGACCACCGGCATTGCTTCCGCTGCCACCACCACCACCGTGGTGATGGTGGTGGTGGTGGCGGTGCTGCTGGGAGGCGTCCGGACGATCGACGTCACCGTCTGCTTCACCTCGGCAGCGGCAGCAGTCGGAGACGCAGCACCCGGTGGGAGCGAGGCAGCAGCCACCGCCACCGACGCCGCTGACGCCGCCGACGCCGGTGCCAGCACCGCAGCAGCAGCTGCCGGAGCTGTCGGGGCCACCAGATTTCCCGGAGAAGCCGGAGGCACGCAGGATCTCGTTGATCATGCGGATCTCTGCGTCCACGCCGAAGTCGGTTTCGGTTGAGCCTCGGCCCGAGGCCGAGCCGGATCCGGAGCAGGAACATGAACCGGAGCCAGAACCGGCACGAGAATCGGGGCAGCCGCCCCCACCTCCTTCAGCAAAGATTGAAACGACGATCAGAGACGGGATTATAATGACTGCAGCCAACAACTAAGTCATTAACACCGCCACCACCTCCACAATATCATTAACTCCATCGCTGCCATGATCATCATTGGTACCACCACTAACACAATACCACCATTATCATGACCATTATATATATGATCACAACCATATTTATGATCACCACCGCCAAGACATCAACAAATGTTGATGTAAAGCTGCAAAGCGTTGCACTTTGCTCTGCAACACAGTTAAACTTTGACCAAATGAGATTTTACATTTTGCTGGTGCACTAGCAACATCCTCTTGATTGGCTGGGTGGTCGTCACGGCAACCCGGCAGCTTTATCCAACATGGCCGATTTTTGTTTATTCTTAAGACGGACAGGAGCTGTTTGTTGAAAATATATTAAACTGTCTCATGCTGAGTATGTAGACAATGTCTATTTTTTTTCACATTATCACTTTTCTAAAATATTCTGCATTTAATTTACAGGCCAGACAGGACCAGGCTCTTTTCCTCGCCTAGATCCCCTGCTGGGCTCCTTGGACCAAGTTGCCCAGGGTAGTGAGAAGGGCGGGGGTGGGGATTTCCAGGCTCCACTTTATTTTACAAAGACATCGGCCACAATTGAGTTGAACAGTCGAGTCATAAAACACAAGCAATGTACTTGCAGTGTTTAACATAGAATGGGCCAAAAAAGATACGCTGCCAAAAATGACCCTGATTAGTGATGAGATAATCTGCCTGTGGGATTTCATTACTCATTGCTAAATTATGACAATAAAGCGAGTCAATTGTGAGTAAAACGCTCGTGACAATGTTTCTTAAAAACTGCCTAGGGTAAATTTTAGAGCAAATGATGGTGATGACGACAACGACAACGATGATGATGCAACAGAGTCTTAACATCCAATTTACAGTAGTTTACAAAAATCCATGTGGGAAATTACGTCATCGGGTGACGTATGTTTTTGTACCGACGGTTACGCAGGATGCATGGATTCATTGAAATTGTTTTATTTAAACTGCAGCAGTGGCCAGGTGGTTTAGAGTGTGTCAGAGCACTAAGTCGGTAGCTGCCAAGATCCTGGGATTGAATCCGGATTTCAGCCACCTGTGATTAAACCGGAATCTCAAGTGCCGCGAGTTGATGGTCACAAATGAATGTACAAAAAAACATTAAATTTGGTTTTGCACTTTGCGAAATTCCAGCTCTGAGAATTACAAATATTCGTTTCCTTGTCATGCGACAAACATCGACATGTCTCCCCTCGTGTGGATTGATCTTAGAGTAGTTCCGTGGCTTGCAGAAGGAGATACCATTCTCCAACATGGGATGATGCACTGCTCACTCTGAGAGTTGTCAACGGATATACCCTCATATCATGACAATATGACCATTGCGTGGCTAAAATAAAAAAAACAATAAGTGGATAAATAACAGAAAAAATAAAACCCCGGACATTTTATGCTTGCAAATTTTATCGCAGAAGGGAATGTGTGGAAATACAGGGAGGGGTACAGGGAGACACAAGGGAGGCATTGGAAGGAACAACAGAGAGACACGGCGAGGAATGGGAAGAACACGAGGAATGCGCGAGTGGTGGTGGTTGTCTCACCCCCACCCGTGTCGGAGCCTCCGTGCCGACAGCAGCAGCAGGATGTCACGGCAGCGGTGACGGCGGCGGCGGTCGCGCTGGACGGGGAGTGGGTGGGAGCGGAGCCGGCGAGGGCCTCGCGTGGCCCGCGGGTGCCGGGGGAGTAACCGGGCGGCTCCTCGTCCGGGTACGGCGCTGTGATCGAGTAGACGCACGGACGGCGCGCCCGGTCTGCCGGGAACAAAAACACGGACAAAGCAAATAACACTCCTCAAGTAATTTTGTTTCACTTTTCATTCCCGAACACAGATTCTCCTGCACGTGGTTAGGTGCAGAGGAAAAAAAAATTGGGGCCTCTCCGTTGGGTCCTACACTCTACGACTACGACTTGGGTGGCCGCTCAAGGATCCCCGCGGAGTGCCTGAAAGACTTTGGATTGTCTGCAGCGAGGCAGCAAGTGTTGGGGAAGAATGTGGTCATGTTGATTATGTGGGTGCCAAACATTAACATCGAGGCAGTGACTCGATGAATCATCACAATTCGGGTTCGCGATTCATATCAACAATCGCTTTGTTTTGTATTTACTGTCTCGGTCGCACTGTTTGTCTTTTCTTCGACCTTGTTTGTACAGTTTACTCCATTGTTCTAATTGTTCATTCACATAACATGCATATAATTTATATACATCATAAATATGGGGTTCTCACGATGCATGCTCAATGCATGTATAATGACAATGGGACTTGGCTTTAAGTGCATCGTTACATACCTAATATTTAGAATGGAACTGGTCAAACATCCCAGGCAGGAATCTCCTAAAAAGGAGCCCCCAGACTTGGCAAGTTTTCTATTTAAGAACACAAATTTAAGAAAACCTTTTTCTATTTGCTAACTTACATTTTCGAATTTGGGTCCGACCTTTGGTATTAAATTTGGCCTTTTATTGTTTAAACTTTACATTGTTGTCCCCTGACATTTGGCCTTACTATATGACCTCTAGCCACACCTCTAGCCGTGTCACTGTCGCTGTCACCGCCACCATCCCCACGTCTGCACGCGAGGATCTTCTCTTCCGGCAGGAACTTCTCAGCATCTCTGGCGATGGCCGGGAGATCGGAGCACCGCTCGCCCCCCTCCCCGTCCAACCGCGTCGGCTTTAGCCTCATCCCCTCGTCTGGCCCTCCTCCGCCTCCGTCTCTCCCACCGCCCGTACTCTTCAGGTTCTTCTCGGCGCCGGGCCCGTCTTGCCCGACGGCCGCCCCCCCCTGCCGCCGGCGCCGCCTCCTGCGCCGCGAGCAGCAGACGAGGGCAGCCGTGACGAGCACGAGCAGCAGCAGCGCGGCCAGCGCGGCGGAGGCTGCGAGCGCCAGCGTCAGGGTGGCGCCGGGGGGCGGGTGCGTGCCGCCGTCGGCATCGCCGCCGCCGCCGCCGCCGCCGCCGTGCAGCACCAGAGCGAATGCCGTATGACGAACGTCGACGAGCACCGCGGTCGAGGCCGAGAGGGACCCGCGAAGCGGTCCCCGCGCCTCAACGTGCAGCGTGAGCCAGCGTGGTGGGGGCGCGGTCTCGTCCCCGTGCGGATCGCTCAGTGATGACGACGAAGATGATGAAGAGGCTGATGAGACCCGTTCGGCGGAAGTGGACGGCCGTTGTGAAAGCGACACTTTCGGCAATGCGGCATCCGAAGATTTTAATTTCAGAGCCGCTGGCTGAGCGGCTGATGATGGTAACGACGACGATGATGAGGATCTCAATGCTGATGATATGGCAGCTGAGGAAGACGAGGTAGACAAGGATGACGAGGAGAGCTGGGTCCGAGGCTCCACCTTGAGCATGATGTCACCATTGTAGCGATTGACGGTGAAGTACGGTGATCGCTGGGCGAGGCGGTATCGCACCGTGCTGTCGGGGCCCGCATCGCGATCGCTGGCGCTCACCCGCCCCACCGTGTCGCCCGCCGCTGCGCCCCGCGGCACCGCAAAGCGGTACGGCGCTCCCTCGAAGTGCGGCGCAAACTCGTCGGCACCTTGCACCAGCACATGCACGCACACGGGCCAGCTGCGTGCCGGCGCCATGACCCCACCCGCCGCAACGGCACGCGGGGGGGTCGCGGCACCAGAGACGAGACTCCCCACACCACCACTGCCACCAACCAAGGCGCCGCGTGAGATGCCAGTAGTGGTACCGTCAGCCCCCGCGGCGGTACCCGCCGGCACCGGGGCTACGGTGAGGCACAAGCGGTAGCGCGGGCACTCCTCGTAGTCGAGGGGCCGGGATGTCCGAACGGTGCCCGTGTGCGGCTCCACCACAAAATTACCGGCGCCTTCACAAAATGACGACGCAAACGTCGATGACGACGGTCGCGGCAGTGGCCGCGGTGGCGCTGTTGACACCGCGTGGGTATCTCGATCTCGTCCGGCCAAACCGGATCCCGTAGATTTGCCGCCATTACCTCTGGGGCTGCCCGCATGAGACTCGGAGTAGAGGAAGGAAAGAATGCCAAATCGGGGAAAGTTGAGGATGCGGGTGCCGGCTGGCTCATTCTCCGACACACTGGCGTTGAGCAGCTCCACCGAGGAGAAGAACGCCGCCAGGTCTCTCTCGTCGGCTCCGTCTTTGCTGCCAGAAACCCGCACGTGCACCGGTACAAGGGCCCGGCTCGGTGTGGTCACAGCACCTGGTGCTGCCGCCGCTTCAACCACCAGCGTGACCTCCGACCCCGGCGGTCGATTGAGCCGTGGCGCGCGCAAGGTGATGGCACCGGTCCGGGGATCGACGGTGAAGAGATTGTCCCGGTCCCCGGCAACGATCTGGTAACCGATGACTGCTGCGCCTTTGTCGTTGAAGCCGCCCCTGCTATAACTGTCGTCGCCGTAGCTGTCGTCGCGCTGGAATTTGGCCAGAACTTGAGTGACCTCAGCGCCGGCAACGGCGCTGGCGGGCAGACTTACACGGTACTCGGGCACCGCGAATTCCAAACTTGACACCGGCTGCTGCTGCCCCTCTTCCAACCCCATCACCGTCACCACCACAGTGGCCGTGCTGCTCAGCGGGGGGTCCCCGCGGTCCGTCGCCGACACCACGAGCTCGAAGCTCCTCTCCGGCGATGCCACCGCCTTCTCCTCCGTCTCCCCTGACAGCACCGGCGCATCCAGCAGCACGAGCCGCGCAGTGCCGCGGTGCGCCACGGCGCCGGTCGCCGCGTCCACGACGTACGTCTCGCACGCGACGGGCTCCAGCCGGAAGAGGCCATCGGGGTCGCCGGCTTCCAGAGCGAAGTCCACGCGGCCGTTGCCGGGGCTCCCGTCGGCGTCCGTGGCTGTCACGGTGAGCACAGGGACGCCGGGCCCCGGCACCGCGGGCAGGGAGGCGGTGTAGGCGGCGCGCGAGAAGACGGGCGCGTGGGCGTTCACGTCGCGCGCGCAGGCGAGAAGGGCGGCCGACGCCGACCGCGGTGGGGAGCCGGCGTCGCGAGCCTCAACCACGTAGTGTGAGCAGCGGGGGCCGCCCCCCATGCGGAGGGGCCTTGTCAGGAACACCGAGCCTAGGGTCGCGGGGTCACACAAGGTGGAGGAAAGGGACGGCGGCAGAGTCAGGGGATGTGCCATTTGGTGCTTCGCGGGAGTCTGTGGCACGTCTTGCTGGGTGAACCCTGCCTGCGAGGGGCTTGATGACCCCATCTCCAGTTTTATCCCTGACCCTGCTAGTTGCCTGTAGCTCTACCTATCTCTAACGCCTCAACTGTTAACACCAATATCAGAGTCCTATACCTAGCCTGAGCTTCAGCCCTAAATGTAACTCCAACTACAGCACAGCTATAACACTAGCCCTAACTACAGCCCTTATCATCTTCATCAGCAGCCATGATGTATCGACTGCTGGGTGAAGGCCTAGCAACAAGTCTTAGTCATTGCTCACGGTCTTGCCAAGCAAAAATCCATTTAGCTCCCGCACATGAGCTGATTTCATCGCTCCATCTCTGGGGCGAGCGTACTCTCGGGTATGCTCCCTCCTTCGGTGGCCTTCCATCATTCGTCTCATGCAACGACTATCCTCTCTTCCAGAGATGTGTCCAGTCAAATCCCAGTCAATCTGATGTCTCTTACATGCATGAGTTGTCTGATCCGCACGAGTTACCCTTCTACAAGCCTCGCTGCATCTATTACTTGAAGATAATCCAAACCTTATACCTACCCATACCCATAACCTCTCTCTTGTTACCCCCATTTAAACATAGTACCAGTGATACCTATAACCCATAGCCCTAATTCTATCCAAGAGCTCGACTCAAAGAGGTGGATGGCCCAAATATGAACACCAAACAAGCAATGCTGAGATCCTGGATTTAAATCCAGGCAGTCACCTGTGATTAAACCTGAGTGATTAAACCGGGTTCTGAAAACAGACAATGACAAATGAACTGAAGGCACGACAGCCCTATCCTGCTTCCAACAACCTTGCCATCGGGTGCACATGAACGTCCCCCCCACCCCGCACCTGTCCGTACCATTCATTGCGTGAATCCCGAATCCTCCTCTGCTGCTGTCACCGTCGCTGCTGCCTGGTATGAGCTGGTACGAGAGCCTCCCATTGGCTCCTGCGTCACGGTCACTCGCAGCAACCGTGATGAGGCTAATAAGCGGAGGCGTGCGCTCATCCACGCTCACCTGGTAAACGTGGGAGGATGGCGGGAGGAGTGGAGGAAGGGTGAGCAGAGGGAGAAGGGTGAGCTTTGGGAAGGCAGGGAGTGAGAAGGTCATTGCGTTTTACCCAGAGTTCTTGACGAACACTTGAAGGGTCATGAATTCAAACACTTGTCAGACTCAGCTCATCATCATCATCATCAACATCATCGCTATTCCGGGGTTGATGAAATGATTACCAATTTCCGGCGAGTCAACAATGGTTGTCCTGTGCAGTCGCCAGCCCCTACCATGGGAATATGGAATTTCCACCACTGGTTCAGAGCCACCAAGAGAGGCAAGTGGCACCCTATTGCTTCTCTGCTTTGAGTAATGTTGTTTCATTGCAGAGGCTGCTCACTGTTAGGTCAGGTTAGTTGGGTGGAACAAGCAATCCATTGTGTGCTGCTGTGAGGTTCAATATCCCACCGTGACGTGGGGTGGGGGCCAGAAGATGGCGGCACAGATGTGTTGGTGAACCTGTCTGTGCAGACATTGGGATGCCCGAGGGAACATTTTCAGACGAGGCTCCCTTTGTGGTCAACCTCCGCCTTCTTGGAAGCCCACCGAGATCTGATGTATCCACCTGCCCCCTCCCCGCCAAATTTGTCCCTCTCCCCCTCTCCTCTCCACGGTCATGCCCGCTCATGCCCGCTCACCTCGTAGAGCGGCCGCAGGAAGCTGGGCGCGTTGTCGTTGTCGTCGGCGACCGTGATGAGGATGGTGGCCTCGGAGCGGTGGGCACCGTCAGACACGCGCACTCGCAGCGCCAGCTCACGCCGCTGCTCGAAGTCAAGGGGGCGCGCGAGCGTCACGCGCCCGCCCAGGCGCTCCACCGTGAACAGGGAGGCAGCCACGGCGGTGGCGTCGTTGACGTCGTCCGTGTCGTCGTTGACGGAAGAGGAGCCGCTCGTGCGCTCCACGACGGAGAACTCGAGGCGAGGGTAAAGGTCGGGGTCCGATGCCAAGACGTGGCCGATCTCAGTGCCGACTGGAACACCTGCGACCGAGGGGGATTGCAAGGCAGGTTGAGGGTGAGGCACAGGGTGGCGTAGTTATCGAGAGCGCAGTCGGTGCCACTGCGCTGGGACTCGAGCACGCGCGCACGTGTGGCGTGTGTGTGTGTGAGCATGCACGCCGTACTCTCAGACACGACGAGGTGCTGGCTGGCGGCGATGACGGGGGCGTTGTCATTGACGTCCTCCACAGTGACACGCACCACGGTGGAGCCGGTGAGGCGCGGTCTCCCACGGTCCACGGCCCACACCTCCAGCCTACACTCAGACCGTCATCACGAGTCATGATTCATCCACTGCTGGATCAAGGGCTCCCCAAGCCATCGCCATCCCTCACCATCCCGCATTGCAAGAATCCATCGAGTTCCTCCCTACACGAGCTGATTTAATTGTTCCATCGCGGCAATTGACATCCCGTTCTGCTGCCACTTCGTCATTAGTCTCGCCCACCGGCTGTCGTCCCTTCTAGTGACGTGTCCCGCCCAAGCCCACTTATTTTTCTCAACAGTCAATGTGATGCCTCAAACTTACGTACATTTTGCTCTTCCTGTCTGTCAGGGTAATGCAAAGCATGCACTTCTCATTGCTTCATTAGGCACTCTTCAGCTTTTGTTCCATATTTAATTCACCAGTGTCCACTCATTGCCCCTGTCGCCCCATCACCCCTCACTCACTGGTGGACGGGCGCGGCCTCGCGATCGAGGGAGGCAGTTGTGGTGATGATCCCGGTAAGGGAGTCGAGCCGGAAACCAGAGCTCAGGGACCCTGGGGCGAGCGCGAACTCCAGCTGCCCCCCCGCACCTCCGTCCACATCCCACGCCACCAGCTGCACGGGCACGTGGGTACACATGGACAAACACACGGGCGTATAAATTCAGACAAAAGGGTTCACATATTTCACATATACACACATATACACACATACTTACACATGTGTACATGGTTACAAGTTGGTACAGGGGTTCCTGGATACACGCATGTGCACATGGGTACATACATGCGTACACACGGATGCACATGCTACACTTTAGTATACAGCGAACATGTAAGTACTCGCATGTACACACATGTACTCGGGGTACACATGGACACACGTGTGTGCAGAATACACACACATACACATGAGTATACACCAAAACACAGGGACACATGATTCACATGGGAATACATGGTGACACAAATGTACACGTGTTCACACATACGAAGACAAAGATCCCTCCTACCAGACTGTTGGGGCAAGTGCTGTTAGCGAGCACCTATGAAGGTCGGAACGGCACACGAGGGGGTGGGTGGCCAACACCACACCCGGCCGCCTTTGTCACCCCAGTGGCGATGTTTACACATCGCACCAGGTACTCATTTGAGGCTCAGTCGACCTAGAGGAGGCCCAGGACCGGTTCAAATAATCGTCACTGGTGTTGGCCGTGAGCGGGAATCGAACCAGATTCGTAGCTACACTACTATGCCTCACATACACATGCATATACACAGGTACACTCGTGTACACATGGGTGCGTGGGGGTGGGAGGAAGAGACGGAGTGAGCAGTGGGGGTGGAGGGCGGGCATAGCTCAGGGCTCACCTGCGTCACGACGGTCCCCGCAGGCTCATTCTCCCGCACCGTCGTCGCCAGGCGTTGCCATGGGAAGCGTGGAGCGTTGTCGTTGACGTCGCGCAGCGTCACCGTCACTGCGGCAATAGCGACAGCGGCCATCTTGTCGCCCTCCTTGCCCTGTGGAAGTTCGTCAATTAGTTCATCCGTTCGTTCGATCACATGTTCAATTACATTTATTAATTCAGGATTTGTACATTCATTGCATTTGTAAGTTTGAGCAATGGGGTTTATGTCGATAATTTTTTTAAATTAAAATAGCGAAACAGAATTCACTTGGAACCCTACATTAATAGAGGAGCTTCTGACCGTTCGACAGGGCCAAACTAACTCCAAAACGGATTTTCTTATGTCAGTGATGATGCCACTTCATTACATTTCCCAACCGCACAACGTTTTCACGGTAACGAGCTCTGGCGGCAGCTCCAGTGCCGTCTTTCTGCCGTGGCCGTTCCCGCACGATCGCTGCCGTGTGCACAGTCGTGCAATCCCCACTAGCTCTCGTCACCTTGCCAATATGCACGTCACTGCGCACTTTCTGCCATTTGCTCAGTACCTCTGCAGCTTTGCAACTCGCAGATGGCAATGAGGTGGTAATCACTGAGCTGTTAGTTGTCTCCACTTAATGGTTTTTGCCCATTCTCCTCCCCTCAATATCTTCCACTCTTCGTGATCTCTTTCCACACCCATCTCATGCGCTCTCTCCAACCCTACTAAATCTCTTCCTCCCCCACCACCTTCCCGTCTCATTTTCCACCTACCTCTCTTTCTCCTACTTCAATTGGCCTCAATTCCATTGTTAATTTTTCCCATCTGTCATTTAACGCCCTAGCTAGATATCCTGTTCAGCTCGATTTCAGTATTTTCTTTGTCAATTCGTAAATTACAACTGTCCTCCTAGTTTCCATTTTCAAATCTTCATCTCTCTCCAGGGCGGGTCACGCTCTCTCAGAAGACAAACACGCACTCTGCAGTGGGGGATTTGTTTGCTTTGGCCTTATGCTCACGCTTGCATCTACATTTTATTCCTGAGTTTTAAGAATACAAACACATTTCAATAAGTCTATGGTGTCACGACGACGATGACGTTCATGATAGCGATGATGATGATGATGACGATGATGATGACAATAATGACCTCTGTAGCTGCGGCTGCATCACCGGCGATGCCCGCAGTGGTGGCGTTGGGGAGGACGACGCGGGCGGTGATGATGACGACTCGACGAGGCATTGACTCGAAGTCGAGGGCCGCGGGGTCCCGCACGGTCAGGCGTCCTGCGGGGAAGCCGGGCCGGAGGAGATGGGGAGGGGGTCATCCCAAGGAAGAGGCTGCACCGCCGAGGGGGAGCAAGGTGGCTGGGAGTGCGTGCGAGGGTGAGGGGGGTGAGTGTGGGGGCTGGCGTATGAGGCAGCAGGTGTGTGTGTGCACGTGTTCGGTGTTCGTGTGAGAGTGTGTGTGTGCACGTGTTCGGTGTCCGTGTGAGAGTGTGTGTGTTTCCGGGCATGATGCTGGCCACCCACCCCCTCGTGTGGCGTGCCAGCCTTGATAGGTGTTCGCGAACAGCACAAGCCCCGACTCGCGACCAACACCAGTGACCTAGGGAGGCCATTCCTGGGCCTCCCTAGGTCGACTCAGCCTTAATTGAGAACCTGGGGTGATTGTGTAAATATCGCCAATAAGGAGACAAAGGTGGCTGGGCGTGGTGTTGGCTACCCACCCCCTCGTGTACCGCAATGGCCTGGATTTGTGCTCGCTTGGCCCAACAGTCTGTTACAGACTATATGGAGTGGGGGGGGGGGGTCTTTAATGCGTGCAGGGGGATGCTGCACCGGTGTTGGCGTTGAGGGAGAAGGCGCCATCGTCGTTGCCGTAGAGGATGGAGAACGTGAGCAAGCGCGTGGTCGCGTCCGACCACGCGGCCTCCACCACGCACACCAGCGTGTCTGCGCACGGGTACGCGCACACAGTCACACGCGTAAATACACAGCCACCATTCACCACAGCGCTTGTGCCAGGCTAGGTGCACTTTAAGGCTACTACGTGAAGATATGCACAGACACACACGTACAAATACACACACATTACACGCGGCCACACACACAGTTGCACGCGCAACGACAACATTCACCACTAAGTGGCAGGAACATTACCACGTTGCTTGTGCCAGGCCAGATGCACTCCGTGGCCACGTGAATTGTCGAAGACCCCGCTGGCAGGAGGTCACGGGACAGACCCAGGTGTCATGGTTTGACCGACTAAGACGACTGACAGATGCGTAGCGAGTTGCACGCGCACACAAACGCACTCACGGACACCGGCACTCACCTCTGGGCGAGTGCTCGGGCAGCGTGGCCTCGTACGCCGTGGGGACGAACGAGAGCAGGGGGGGCCCCAGGGGAGCGCGCCCCCCAGAGCGGGGGCCTGGGCCCACGCGCACGGACACGACGGTGCGCGCGGCGCGAGGCGGCGAGCCGTGGTCCCACGCGGCCACCGCCAGATCCGCTCCGACGAAACCCTGGAGGGGGCGGCGCACAAGCAGCTCTCCTGTACACACGCACACGCACACACGCATAAGCATGCATACACACACAGGATCGCACACACACAGATACATGCGCACGCATGCAAAGTAACGCATATACTCGAGCGGCTACGCAAGCATGCAGGATTGGGTGTCTATGTTTACCCATCAGTCCACCCACCTACCTTGTGTGCACGTACATGTCTGTGTGTGTGTCTGTGTTGACTCAGCCTTAAATGAACACCTGGTGGTGTAAACATCGCCACTGGGGAGACCAACGCGGCCAGGCCTCAGTGCTGGCCACCCACCCACCTCCTAGTTTTCCGTGCCGGCCTTTATAGGGGTGCACAACTTGCTAACAGCACTTGCCCCAAGAGTCTGTTAAGGCTACACGGAGGATGTTTCTTTGTTAAATCTTGACTTAAAGCTTTCGTGACTGCAGGAATTAATATTCTTTGGGTCTTTCGGTAAAGGTAGGTTCAAAGAAGATGTTTCTTTGTCTTTGTGTGCCTATGTGTGTGTGCGAGCCCCCCCCCCCTCCGCCCCCGCTGTGCCACCTGTGTTGGCGTCGATGCGGAAAAATTTGTGGGGGTCCCCGGCTTCCAGGCGGTATGCCAGCGCTCCGCCGGCGCCGCTGTCCTCGTCCCGCGCCACCACCGTGGCCACCAGGGCATTGACGGCCGCGCGGCCTGCGGGCACGGTGGGCACCAGCGGCCCGTGCCGGAACTCGGGGGCGCGGCCGCTCCCCGGCACTAGCGCCACAAGGGCGGAAACGCGGGAGGAGTGGGGGGGGCGCCCCCCATCCACCGCTTCCACCCACAGCCGGTAGTGAGGCTCAGGGACGTCGGTGGAGGAAACGGAACCGTCTGGCGCTAGGGGGGAGAGAGGCACAGCGACGGGGCTGTTGTAGGCATCGTTGGCAAGATCGACTCTGGCGTCAAGGATGGCGACATTGTTCACGATGCAATCCTCATCGTCAACAATGATCACCACCATCATCATTACAACCACCAACACAAAAACTATCAATAACAACACGAACACTATCACCACCACCACCATCAACACCAGCAACGGACTCGTCAACCATCACCACTACCAAAACCACCGCTACTGGATCCACTGTGCCATTACCACTACAAGAACCACCATCACCTATCCTGATCACACTTCACCATCGCCGACATCGTTTTTACCTCCGACATCACTGCCACTCCTCTCCGGCGGTGCGCGGAGCCGCGGCACGGCCACGAACACGATTCCCGACTCGGGGTCGATAGCGAAGGGGGGCATGGTGACCCCGGCGATGCCACTCGTGCCTCCCACGAGTCGGTACCGGACCCGGCCTCGTATCCCCGAGTCTGCGTCGGCGGCCGAGACCCACAGCACCGGTGAGCCGGCGACGAGGCCCTCAGGCACAATGGCGCGGTACTCGGGTCCCTCAGTCCGCTGCCGCTCCACCGACTCCGGTCCCGGTGACCCCGGTGGAGAGGGGGCGGCGTCGTCAAACACGAACACTGGCGAGTTATCGTTGACGTCGAGGACGGAGACGAACACGATGCTTGTGGAGCGCAGTCCAGCGCAGCCATCATTTGGGAGGCGGCTGCTGCTGCTGGCGCCACCACCGCCGGCAGGAAATTGGGGTGGTGGCCCGGGGCCGCAGTCGACGGCCTCCACCACGAGGCGGTAGCGTGGCTGGGCCTCGCGGTCGAGGGGGGCGGCCGTGGTGAGCGACCCCGTGACAGGGTCGATGTGGAAGTGCGAGGACCCGGATCCGTCTAAGGTCAGGATGGGGGCAAGAAGAAGAGAGAGGATATAGGGATGGGGGGTGGTGAGGCATGGAGATATTGAGACACTGGTGCACGAATGCACTGAGATGCTGAGATATTGACATGAGACGGTGAGACACACAGAGACACAGGGATAGTTGTACACACAAAAACACACGGACACACACAGAGACACAGTCGCACACACGCGCGCTGACACCGATCTGTGCCGTACCCGCTAGATGGTACCGCACCATCCCGTTCTCTCCGGCATCTGCGTCGGTCGCCACCATCGTGATCACAGGGGTCCCCATAGGGCTGTCTTCGCTCACGCGCGCCCGCCACCCTGCCTCATCACCACCAACATAATCCTTCTCTTCTTCACCATGCTCAGCAGCTGCATCATCATCGTTGACATCGTCAAGGTGGCGCTGGCCGTGAGCCTGCGCGACGAGGTGGGGCGGCGCGGCAAAGAGCGGCGCGTTGTCGTTACGGTCGAGGACACGGACGACGACGGAGGCGAGGGACCAGCACGGGGGCGTCCCCCGGTCGCTGGCGCGGACTGCGGTGGGAAAGAGGTGGGGTGGTGGGGGGCATGGGTCAGGAAAACTGGGTCAGTAAACTCGGGTCAATATATCGAGGTTGGATCGCAGGGATCATAGTAAGGAATTGTACAATATTATCCTGGGCCTCCCGAAGGCCAAGTGAGCCTTAAATGAGTACTTGGTACAGTAGGGAGACCAGGAGTGGCTCGAACCACGCCACCCCCTTGCAGGCCATGCCAGCCTTAACAGGTGCTCATTAACAACACTTGCCTCGACAGTCTATATAGCCTACAAGGGATGTCTTTGTCATTTTGTATATGCACTTATGTGTGGTCAAAATGTAAATGTAGAAGCGCATGTTTGCAGCCATTTCCACGTTGTGGAAACTTCGTCGTAAGGGCATAGGAGCCGATCTGAAAAGTGCCGGTATGGCAAACTGTCGCATGCAGAGTATGGTGGTTGAATGGGTAAGTGGGTTGGTGAGTGTGCTGTTGTGATCTGCAATGTGGTAGCTCAACACAGTGTAGACGAGATCAGCCAGTCTGGTAGGCCGAGTCCCCAACATTTGTGGAGGAATCCAATGAGTGAATTTAACAGAAACGGCCACCATGGTAGTAGCAATAGAAGAGCGATAAGCAGGTGACTGACCAAAAGTAGCGATTGACTGGAGTGAAGCAGTGAGTGCTGGATCACCAATAAACTCGACTACATTGAATTCTATCAAGCACAATCTATGTGTGTATATATGTAGATGTTTGTGTGTATGCGGACGCATCTGAGTGTACATGTGTGTACGTAGGTACAGTGAGGGAAAAAAGTATTTGATCCCCTGCTGATTTTGTACGTTTGCCCACTGACAAAGAAATTATCAGTCTATAATTTTAATGGTAGGTTTATATGAACAGTGAGAGACAGAATAACAACAACAAAATCCAGAAAAAGGCATGTCAAAAATGTTATAAATTGATTTGCATTTTAATGTATTTAACCCCCTCTCAATCAAAAAGATTTCTGGCTCCCAGGTGTCATTTATACAGGTAACGAGCTGAAATTAGGAGCACACTCTTAAAGGGAGTGCTCCTAATCTCAGCTTGTTACCTGTATAAAAGGCACCTGTCCACAGAAGCAATCAATCAGATTCCAAACTCTCCACCATGGCCAAGACCAAAGAGCTCTCCAAGGATGTTAGGGTCAAGATTGTAGACCTACACAAGGCTGGAATAGGCTACAAGACCATTGCCAAGTAGCTTGGTGAGAAGGTGACAACAGTTGGTGAGATTATTCGCAAATGGAAGACGCTAAAAAAACTGTCGATCTCCCTCGGCCTGGGGCTCCATGCAAGATCTCACCTCGTGGAGTTGCAATGATCATGATAACAGTGAGGAATCAGCCCAGAACTACACGGGAGGATCTTGTCAATGATCTCAAGGCAGCTGGGACCATAGTCACCAATAAAACAATTGGTAACACACTACGCCGTGAAGGACTGAAATCCTGCAGCGCCCACAAGGTCCCCCTGCTCAAGAAAGCACATATACATGCCCGTCTGAAGTTTTCCAATGAACATCTGAATGATTCAGAGGACAACTGGGTGAAAGTGTTGTGGTCAGATGAGACCAAAATGGAGCTCTTTGGCATCAACTCAACTCGTCGTGTTTGGAGGAGGAGGAATGCTGCCTATGACCCCAAAAACACCATCCCCACCGTCAAACATGGAGGTGGAAACATTATGCTTTGGGGGTGTGTTTCTGCTAAGGGGACAGGACAACTTCACCGCATCAAAGGGACGATGGACGCGGCCATGTACCGTCAAATCTTGGGTGAGAACCTCCTTTCCTCAGCCAGGGCATTGAAAATGGGTCGTGGATGGGTATTACAGCATGACAATAACCCAAAACACATGGCCAAGGCAACAAAGGAGTGGCTCAAGAAGATGCACATTAAGGTCCTGGAGTAGCCTAGCCAGTCTCCAGACCCTAATCCCATATAAAATTTGTGGAGGGAGCTGAAGGGTCGAGTTGCCAAACGTCAGCCTCGAAACCTTAATGACTTGGAGAAGATCTGCAAAGAGAAGTGGGACAAAATCCCTCCTGAGATGTGTGCATCTGGTGGCCAACTACAAGAAACGTCTGACCTCTGTGATTGCCAACAAGGGTTTTGTCACCAAGTACTAAATCATGTTTTGCAGAGGGGTCAAATACTTATTTCCCTCATTAAAATGCAAATCAATTTATAACATTTTTGACATGCGTTTTTCTGGATTTTATTGTTGTTATTCTGTCTCTCACTGTTCAAATAAACCTACCATTAAAATTATAGACTGATCATTTCTTTGTCAGTGGGCAAACGTACAAAATCAGCAGGGGATCAAATACTTTTTTTCCATCACTGTAAACTCAGCCGCAAATGAGTACCTGGTGTGTAAATATTGCCACTGGGGACACAAAGGCGGCTGGGTGTGGTGCCAGCCACCCACCCGCTTCTGTGCTGTGCCAGCCATGCTAACAGTGCTTGGGATCTTTGGCTTTGTACGAGCGTGTGAGTGTGTGTGCATGAATTGTGCACTGCACTACTAACCCGGCGAATTGAGTTAGATACCTGCTCATGGCCAACATTGGTGATGAATATCTGAAACCGGTCCTGGGCCTCCCCTAGGCCGACTCCGCCTCAAAGGAGTAACTGGTGTGCTGTGTAAATATCCCCTCTGGGGAGACAAAGGCGGTCGGGCGTGGTGCTAGCCACCCACCCCCTCGTGTGACGTGCTGGTGCTCACTTACAGCACTTGCCCCAACAGTCTGTTAAGAGGCTATATGGGGGATCTTTGTCTCTGTGTACTCGTGTGTTGTGAGGGAAGCCGTGTGAATGGCAGGAAGGCCGCGACGAGGTCACGGCGGCTGTTTGTGTCGGCACGGGAAGAGCGGCGAGAATGTAAATGTGCGTGTTGACAGCACTCGTGCACACACATGCACGCACGTACACACATACATATATACAGGCACCCACCACAACAACAACAGCAGCCACTGCCATTCTCCACTAAGGGATGCTGACATAACCAGTGCTTGTACCAGCCTAGATGTACAGTGAGGGGAAAAAAGTATTTGATCCCCTGCTTATTTTGTACGTTTGCCCACTGACAAAGAAATGATCAGTCTATAATTTTAATGGTAAGTTTATTTGAACAGTGAAAGGCAGAATCACAACAAAAATAAATCCAGAAAAACGCATATCAAAAATGTTATAAATTGATTTGCATTTAGTGAGGGAAATAAGTATTTGACCCACTCTCAATAAGAAAGATTTCTGGCTCCCAGGTGTCTTTTATACAGGTAACGAGCTGAGATTAGGAGCACACTCTTAAAGGGAGTGCTCCTAATCTCAGCTTGTTTCCTGTATAAAAGGTACCTGTCCACAGAAGCAATCAATCAATCAGATTCCAAACTCTCCGCCATGGCCAAGACCAAAGAGCTCTCAATGGATGTCAGGGACAAGATTGTAGACCTACACAAGGCTGGAATGGGCTACAAGACCATTGCCAAGCAGCTTGGTGAGAAGCTGACAACAGTTGGTGCGATTATTCGCAAATGGAAGAAACACAAAATAACTGTCAATCTCCCTCGGCCTGGGGCTGCATGCAAGATCTCACCTCGTGGAGTTGCAATGATTATGATAACGGTGAGGAATTAGCCCAGAACTACACGGGAGGATCTTGTCAATGATCTCAAGACAGCTGGGACCATAGTCACCAAGAAAACAATTGGTAACACACTACGCCGTGAAGGACTGAAATCCTGCAGTGCCTGCAAGGTCCCCCTGCTCAAGAAAGCACATATACATGCCCGTCTGAAGTTTGCCAATGAACATCTGAATGATTCAGAGGACAACTGGGTGAAAGTGTTGTGGTCAGATGAGACCAAAATGGAGCTCTTTGGCATCAACTCAACTCGCCGTGTTTGGAGGAGGAGGAATGCTGCCTATGACCCCAAGAACACCATCCCCACCGTCAAACATGGAGGTGGAAACATTATGCTTTGGGGGTGTTTTTCTGCTAAGGGGACAGGACAACTTCACCGCATCAAAGGGACGATGGACGGGGCCATGTACCGTCAAATCTTGGGTGAGAACCTCCTTCCTCAGCCAGGGCATTGAAAATGGGTCGTGGATGGGTATTCCAGCATGACAATGACCCAAAACACACGGCCAAGGCAACAAAGGAGTGGCTCAAGAAGAAGCATATTAAGGTCCTGGAGTGGCCTAGCCAGTCTCCAGACCTTTATCCCGTAGAAAATCTGTGGAGGGAGCTGAAGGTTCGAGTTGCCAAACGTCAGCTTCGAAACTTTAATGACTTGGAGAAGATCTGTAAAGAGGAGTGGGACAAAATCCCTCCTGAGATGTGTGCAAACCTGGTGGCCAACTACAAGAAACGTCTGACCTCTGTGATTACCAACAGGGGTTTTGCCACCAAGTACTAAGTCATGTTTTGCAGAGGGGTCAAATATTTATTTCCCTCATTAAAATGCAAATCAAAATGTATAACATTTTTGACATGCGTTTTTCTGCATTTTCTTGTTGTTATTCTGTCTCTCACTGTTCAAATAGACCTACCATTAAAATTATAGACTGATCATTTATTTGTCAGTGGGCAAACGTACAAAATCAGCAGGGGATGAAATACTTTTTTCCCTCACTGTACTTTGAGACAAAGTGGTCTCAAAGTGCAAAGGACGTACACATCATGCGTATATAAAACAAAGATATCCTTTAGCAGACTTCAGGGGCAAGTGCCGTTAGCGAGCACCTATGAAGGCCGGGACGGCACATGAGAGAGTGGTTGTGGCCAACGACACGCTCGGCCGCATTGGTCTCTACAGAACATTAAAACCTCATGAAGCTGGACTCAAATGAGCTGGAATTCAGGGAAATCCAGGAAAATTGCATAAATAAATAAACCAACAGGTTCGCACTAAATCTCTAACCAGAATGATAAAATTAAGCTGCACGTGGTAGGAAATTATAGATGTGCTTATCATGCCTAAGTATTAAGACACTATCCCTCACCGATGTAATTGTCAAGCATATGTGTACTAGTAGTTCTAAAGCAAATAATTTATTTGTTGTATGAAATTCGGCAAACCTGTTCTCTTGAACTTCACGTCCATCCACGTGCTTTGCTGGAGCCCTCATTTGCGCTCTCATTTTTATATTTACTTTACATTTCATTGATAATATCAGCGAGCACCTGCAACTGTGTACTCATGCGTGTGTCTCCATGGTGTGTACCAGTGCATGCGTACTCGTGAGCGTGTTCCAGTGTGTGCGTTCCCATGGTTTGTGTAACCATGACCATGTACCCGTGCGTGCGTACCCATGGTACTGCAATGGTGCTTGCGTACCCGTGAGCGTGTACTCGTGCTGGCTCTCGCGGTCGAGTGGTCTCCGTGTGGACACGAGTCCCGTGCGCTCGTTGACGCTGAAATCCACGAGTCCGCTGAGCAACGTGTACACCACCTCTCCCCCGGCACCTACCATACACATGCACATGCGGGTACACACACACACGTGTAGTTGTGGTCAAGAATCAAACTCGGGTTGTTGGGTTCGTAGCACTAACCACAGCACTATCAATCCCCGGGGGTATGCACAGCAGAAATGCAATAATGTACGGTCAAATTATACGATCAAATAACCCACAAATCTCTGTAATTTGTAGATTATTGGCAGTTCACAACAGCTCTTATAATCCATGGCTGATCCTGTAATCCATGACTGCACCGCGATGGCGTGACATTTTTTTCACAGCTTAAGTTTAACCTCTGCGGTGTGCCAGGTGTTTCAGGATATGGTCCCCCCAAATCTACATGGATCGTTGTGTGTATATGTGTTTCACCATCAGCCACAATTAACCCACTGCTGAACAAAGGCCTCCCCCGAGCCTTCATCATCTAATAATCCACATATATATGTAGATATTTGGCTATATGGCTATATGTGTACGTATATAAAGACAAATATCCCCTGTCTAACCTTTAATAGACTGTTGGGGCAAGTGCCGTAGGAACTTATGGCGCGCCTATGAGGGGGTGGTGTTGCCAAAAAAACGCCAGACCGCCTTTGTCTCCCCAGTGCTGATATTTACATCGACCTAGGGGAGGCCCACAACCGGCGCAAAAAATTACCACCAGTATTGGTCGTGAGTGAGAATTATAATTGGGGTCGCCGGTTTGTAGCGCAGCGCGCTAACCACTGCACTGCCACTCCCCACACTTGCACGTGTACATGCACATACACACTACCTTCATCGCCGTCCACTGCTGTCACGTGTACACACGTGGTCCCGGCGGGCGCATTCTCCTCCACGGCGCACTCGTATGTCACCATCGCTCCATCACCATCGCCAACATCGCCATCATCCACAGAGCGATGGGACCCTCGTGAGTCTCCGAGGGCCCGCTAGTGAACACGACAAATCGACCGGTCATGCGATTACCACCACAATCAGACGATTAAAGGAGTTGGTATCTTGTATATGTGTACCTTGACAGTGTTCCCCCACCCCCTGGATGCTTGGCACAAATTTTAAACATTGTTTCTGATAATAATGATATAATAATACTTTAGTGTTATGGCAGGGTGTTCGTAATAGCGTTCTCGTGATTTAAGTGCAATGACAATGCATTCAACTCAAAGGGGTTCTTGACAGGCACATCACTGCACAGTTCGTGTAACTTTTTTTTTGCAATAAAGCTTTGTCCGGATAAAAGTAATGTCACAATGAAGTCACCAGAGTGCCATAATCGCACAATTGACCGTACACTGTAAAACATTTTTTGGATTTGTCTCAAACAGTTTGGGACAAACAACCTGGATACTCGACATGTAGCAACATATTTTTCTTAAAAGATAAATTAGAACTTAGGGTGTGATCGATTGAGCCAGGGATCAGCCATGTACCTCCTGCTGGGGCAGAAACCGCGGGGCCTGGTCGTTCACATCCATCACCGTGACGGTGAGGGTCGTACTCGTCTCCAGCCTCCTCTGACTGTCACCCTGGGAACTGTCGCCGCGGGAACTACCATCACCGTGGAGACCATCCTCACAGTCAGAAATGGTCAGACGGAGGAGGTAGGAGGCGTGGGTCTCGCGGTCCGGGGTGCGAGCCAGACTCAAGACACCTGCAGCCCGGACGAGCCCCCGAAAGTGAGACGTGGATTTGAGGCAATATCCCGCATGTCATTGTAATTGTTGATGCTATATCATCACCATTAATGTCATCATCGTCACCTTCATCAAATAAGTGATCATCACCACCACTTTAAATGTTGTTTTCACTGATGTCACATTACTGTCAACATCGTCACCTGTCACCACCATCATCATTATCATGGTTAATGCATCCATCACTGCCATCGTCAATGTCATCATACTCATGATATGTTTCTGCTTCATCAATGTAAAAATCAACAGTTCATGGTATGTGTTAAAATTAATTAGAGCTGTGATGATGCTGACGTTGACGGAGACCATTGTGGGGTTAATGTTCGTGATACCGGATGTCATGGCAATGAAGTCTGCGGTGGCTTTGGTCAGCAGTTTTGTTATAGCGCTGATGTTGGATGCTGTGGTTGTGATGTTGTTTTTGAGAGTGGCCATCTCGTTGCTGGTACTGCCGCGTCGTGGTGGAGACTTGCCGGTTTCTGGGTGCAGGAAGAAAGTTCCGACCTCGTTGCCCTCGGCGATGGAAAACCGGAGACGGCCGCCCATGCCCCCATCGGGGTCACGACCTCTGAGTGTCACGAGGTCACGACCCGGCCGCTCTCCCTCCCACACGATCACGTGACTGCACACAGCAAAGACGAGCCTTTTCACGACTCCACCCAAACCAAACACTTCACATGGGGAGAGGACATTTCTGCTTTGATTTTGTTGAACTCCATGACCCACATATCTAGCCACGGCTAACGTCAGTGGCGAGTGATATCTCAGCTGTTGATGACCCACACCTTCATCAACCCGCTACTGAATGCTGTGGTGAAGTATGGTCAAGAAACTCCAATCTAGAAGTGGATTAGCAAAGGGATTTAAAAATGATCACTGTCAAGTTTAAAAAATCAGTGTCTCATCACTCAGCAATGAGTCAATCTCATCTCAGTTGATGACTGTAGCTCAAGCTAACACAACCTCATCAAGTACTCCAACAACACAAAACATTAATTCTAGATTTGAAGCATTCGTGACTGCAAGGATTCATACGCTTTGGTTTTTTCGGTAAAGTCACATAGGTAAAAAAATAAATAAAATAAATGAAATAAATTTAGTTGTTTTCATTTATTTTATTTTATATATTTTTGACCTATGTGACTTTACCGAAAAAAACAAAGAGTATGAACACAAAACATTGCCTATTCATGTTCAAATTGCTCAGAATCTTTTTACAAATGCATGGCCATTATTTGATGAATATTTTGCCACTTAATGGTACAAAAGTGGCCTCATGAAAATCCTGGGCTTGGAAAAAGGGATTGATAAAGGGGGCTGAACAACTAAGTTTCACCACCTTTCGAAATAAGACAGCAGCATGTGATTGAATAACATTGGATTCTCTACATCACGGCAGCAATTGCTGATGAGAAGAATACTCAGTAACGGATCCATGGGTGCCGACCATTCACGTAAGATAAATGATCACCTACACCTGGAAGAAGTCTGATGGCAACCTCACCTGGGCGGCTCCTGAGGAGGTGGCCACACGAAGACAGGCGCGACATCGTTGACGTCTCCAACGTACACGTTGGCCACGGCGACCGGCGTCCCCATGGCCTCAACGCCCCCGTCCGGGACGACAGTGATGACCAACAGGTACCGCTCGGCCACCTCGCGGTCCAGTGGAGCTGCCGTGCGCACCACACCCGTGGTGGCGTCCACTGTGAACGGGCCCGTGCCAGCACCCCCACCGCCAGAACTCCCACTGCCACCGGCTGGTGTCCAAACTGGGCCAGAGCTACGCCGTTGCCTGATGGGTCGGATGGCGGTTACACGGCCTCCGGTGGTCAAATTCCGCAAGATTCCCAGTCCCATCTCCTCTTTGCTTCGCTCTCCCGTTTCGTTACGGACAAACGTTTGCATCCCAGAGCCAGACAAACCCCGGCGCTGCCGCCGGTACCCGAGGTCGGTAAGAGAGGCGGCCGCCGGGGCCTGGTAGGCGAGGCTGTAGCGTAGGCCACGGCTGAGTGGGGGTCCAGCAATTAGAACGGGCGTCCCCGGAGCGGCGTCTTCCCAAACCCAGCCCACCGGGCCGGTGCTTCGGAAACGAGGGGGTAGGGATGGAGGCGATGATGATGATGGTGAACGGCGCTCACCGGCGCTGGGACTGACGGTGAGGAGCACAAGGACTCGTCGCACCACTTCAGCACCCACGTGCACGTACAGAGTGGCACACGTCATGATGTCCCACGGGTCAGACAGCATCGCCAGTGTCGGTAAAGTGAGTCGTTCGGCGGTGGAGGGGAATTGGTGATGTGATCATACAACAGACAAAGAGAGACAAATTAAAATCTTCTATATATAAAAGTAAAACATTGTTTGTGGGTTTGTGTGTGGGTTTGTGTGTGTTCCCACGCTTGCAAAGGATTTGTCTCTCCAACGGTGGGGTTTACGTAAAATCAAAATAGCCAGGTATCACGCCGTAAGCCCCGCCGTGAGCAAGCACTATTCCTTTTTCACATCCGTCAACTTTAAATTCGTTTAATTAGCGATTTAGTGCATTTTTGTGTGCTTTCTCTTTATTTATTTAGTTATTTGTTTAATCATGTTGCGTGCACGACCATACCAACTCACGCGCCTTTGGTGGGGGGGACGGCCCATGCCAAGTCGCACGCCATCGGTGGCAGTGAGGGGGACATTTTCTTTCGCATTAAAAATGCTATAAAAATACACTAAACGCTGAGGTAAATTTTTCACTGTGTGATGTCCTCCCCACCCCGATGCGTGCAGTTACTACTATACAGTCAGTAGATGCTACCACTATAGGTCGTAGATATTACTGCAGAGCGGCCGGGGAGATCGTGGTTGGGGGGGGGGGTCAGGGCTAGCAGCCCTGCCCCAACCTGCCAAGGTGCCACCTCGGCCGGCTGGACAATCTAGGCGAGGCCGAAGGCTCTGCATGGGACTAGGCCTCACCATGCAACTCTGTCAGGTGAGTACTTTGTGCTATAGAGTCGATAAATACTGCTATAGAGTCAGCATGTACTACTGTAGTGATAGCAGGTACCACCACAGTCGGTATGCACTGTTGTAATCATAGCAGGTACCACCACAGTACGCACTGCTGTTAGATTTTTAAGAGTAGTTTGGAAATATTTTTTTGGCCTGGGCAACGCCGGGTACTTCCCACTAGTCTTACACTAAAAGCAAATGTTTGTTCAAAGTTTATCATTTTGATTTATTTTCGTGATGATAAGTAATTTTCATCATTATGGTGATCATTAAACAACACAAAATTACAGCCAGGTCTCCCTTTTAATGAGAAATGTAGTCTCAATAGATGTTCATATAATGGAGCGGTGGTGAACATAAGTTGTGAGTGATAAAAAAACTGGTCTTGGGTCAAGTACGGTATGGTCAAACAAACGCAGTGGTCGGCTCAGCATGGAGTGCCCTTCATTCAGCAATGGACTGACCAAGGGCTGAAATTATTTTTACAGATAATTTACATAAAATAAAATGATTGATGACAAGGACAACAATGATAATGATGATGTAAACAACATAAGCGAAAACTTACAATACGAGGGGCTCAAGCAGCGGCTCAATGCCACCTCCCCTTGCTCTTACCGGGGTCCCCGTGGCGACCGTCTCCCATCGTCACGGTTTCCACATCAAGCGCGAAGGGGAGCGAAGCCGACCCAACATCGTCGGGGGCGACAGGATTCCGCAGGAACACGGAGCCCGAGGTGGCATCCACGTAGAACGGGGAGTCATCCTCCACCTCCTCGCCCTCCTCTTCTTCCTCATCGTCGCCGTGAAGCCGTTGTCGAGGACTGATGATGCGGAACACGGTGGTGGCCACGGTGCTGGGCGAGGGGGGCGGCACTCGGCCGATGATGGCGCCCGGGCGGGAGCCAGGGGGAACGGTAAGGCGTATCACGGATGAGGGAACATCCTCCTCAACATTATCATCGTCACTGCCGTCGATGTCATCATCTTCATCGCCAATGGCCCTGGGGATGGCGCCCACCGCTAGGATCTTAACGAAGAGGTGAAGGAGGTGGTAGGGGAAGAGAGGTCACTGATGTGTGGAGAGTGTGTAACATTGTAAATGTTAGCACTTTTGAGGAAGGTATTGTTCCCAAGGGTATATTAGGGTTGGGGTAGTATTGAACTTCTTTCGCACCGTACGTAAACAACCGTGCTAATTGGAGGCGCGATTGCTAATTGGAGTATTGTCGCGCAGTGGTTAATGCACTGCACTAAGAACCTGCGTTAGAATCCCAGCCACAGCTAATTATAGTAGCTAGGTCTTAGGCCTTCCTTAGGTTGACTCGGCATTAAATTAGTATATGGATTGGTATGCAAACATCAGCAATGGGCAAACAATTTCAGTCCTAGGGTGGCGCTGGCTCCCCACACCCTCGTGTGCCGTGCCGGTCTTAATAGCTGCTCGCTAATGGTGGTTGCCCGAACAGTCTGTTCAAGGCTACATGGCGGCAGGGTACGTTGAGGTGCGGGAACGTACCGTGAGGTGCAGGACCGTTCCGCTGTGCCGCGGGGGGTTGCCCAAGTCCCCGGCGCGTACCGCCAGTGTCGCGCTGCGTGGGTCGCTCCGCGTGAGCGCGCGCGCCGTGCGCACCCTGCCCGTGTCGCGCTCCACCAGCAGCAGCCCCAAACCGCCTGCACACACAGGTACACACATACATAATGCAAATATACACACCCACTCAAATTAGTGCACACCCAGAGGTGTGTACACACATACCCACACATATGTTGACACATAACGAATGCACACGAGTGCAAATGAGTATACATAACTGCATGGGTACACACGCACACACATCCTCAAGTTAATTCCATCTGGTCTTGTTCGCGAATGCCTTTTGGATACAGTTTTGTATCATATGGGGAAAGAAAAGGTCCAAATCGGGCTGATGAAGGACTGAGGGCTTGAATCGAGGCAAAAATGGACAAGGGGCATTGTGGGTAATGACTGACCTTCATAGAGGGGGTGGCAGTCACTAGGGAAGTTTTTCACCCACGGCGCGTTTGAAAACGGCGACCGGGAAAATGGCGTTGGCGGCATTGGGCACTCACCGGCGGGCAGCGAGTAGACGACTGTGCCATTGGGTCCTTCGTCAGGGTCCTCAGCCATTAGGGTGGCCACCAAGGTGCCCACGGGAACTTCCGTCTCCACCTGCCGTGCACACCCGCGTACAAACGAGTACGTGATAAAAATCTCCGAATGGATTCCTTTCCCGCTCATTCCTATCCCACATTTCTACCCATAACTGACCAAACGCCACCACCACAATCACCACCAACTCCACTAACACAATCATCGCCACCACCAGCTCCACCACCAAAATCACCACTGTTATCACAACCACCACCACCACTGCCGATGCAACCCCAACACTCATGGGACGTAAAGGACCGGCCAATTGACAGGGGAACTCTGAGATGGAACACACGCCCCACGGTGGCCGCAGGTTTGGTGTGGAGGGCCCCACACCTGCGCGTGGTATTGCGAACGAAGAAAGCGGGGGGCGTTGTCGTTGGCGTCGGCGACGGCGACGTGGACGCGGCACAGGGCGGAGCGTGGCGGAGCGCCGGCGTCGGAGACCCGCAGCGTCACGCGGTGCCACGGGCACGCCTCGCGATCCAGCAAACCTATGGCACGCACCTCTCCTACGCAGACACACACACACGTAGACAGTCATGAGGATGTGATGCATGGGGTTGACAAATGGGTCAAGTGTAACCACCGCTCACACCTTTCCTACTGAGACTAATTTCCCCGTACAACTGTACATGTGCCTATCAAGGACTGCATGGTGCATGATGAGGTGGTGTGGCCAGACCCATGGCTGGTCGACCACCCTAGTCTCCCCAGTGTTTAAGTTCACACACTACACCAGGTACTCATTTAAGGCTGAGCTGACATAAGGGAGGCTCAAGACCGGTTAAAATATTCTTCACTTTCACTTTAAGCGGGAATTGAATTTGGGTCGCCGGGTTCATCATGCTGTGCACCAACCAATACACTACCACTCCCCACCTCACCTATGCATGCATTTGATGCTTGGAAGGGACAAAAACACACACAGGTTTAAACAAACCTCAACAGTGTGGGGCCAATTCAGTTAGGTCTTATGCTTCAGGCTGCAGGTCAAGGACTAATCGTTAGGCTTGACATGGACAAGCCTTCATCCAGCTGTATATGTAACATGGGTAATGATGATGATTTCATGACGATGGACACCAAGAGCTGTTTTCATTGCGCTCTTGCCCGTCCAGGCCTCTGTACGCGGATCACACTGTCGGGTTTGTGTCGCACCGCGTGTCGGGTGGACGTGGAAGGAGACGTGGGCCCCGGTTGGCGACGGCCCACAGGCTGCGGGGGACTCGACATGCTCGACGGCGAAGGAGACCCAGCCGCCGAGACCGGAGTCGGAGTCGCTGGCGCTCACCATGCCCACCAGGGAGCCCGGCTCCCCGCCAGCAGCGCTGTCACCTTTAACGTCAACCAACGCACGTGATTACTACCATGATTATGACTGTCACCACCATCGCCACCACAATTAGCAGCATCGCCACTCGCGCTCACCGCCCTCCACCATGAGAGCACCCGAGTCCGCGACACCAGTGTTAACATAAACATAACCAACATCCTTATGATTCCTCCAATCATTACCCCACATCATCATAATCGTCGTTGTCGTCTTCACGAAGACCACCGGCAGCAACACCATGAGCTCTACCGCCATTTCACCGATACAAGCATCACCACCACAACCTTCTTAACCATAATCATCCTGATCACCATCATCACCATCATCAACACTGTTAACAACAAAAGTACTAACTATGGCACCATCATCAATAGCATCACGAGAACCATACACTCTAAAGTCTGTACAGACAGGTCAGCCACTCAATTTTGAATTCGCCAACTACTGGCCACTGCTTCACCCCAAAGGCCGGGATAATCTCCAGACAATCCACCAACCCTAACCTCCATGGGGCTACATTCGGCCGCCCTGGCACGGACACCGGCCGCATGCACTCACCTCCTGAGTCGTTCTCGAGGACAGTAAAGAAGTAGTCGTCCCTTGCGGGTACAGGCGAGTGGTTATTGTCATCCGTAATGGACACCAGTATGCGGGCGGTCGCCATGATGTCCGGTTCCGCGCCGGCGCGGTGGCGCCGCCGGTGGCGATGCGGAGAGGAGGAGAGGAGCGGCCACACCGTCGGGGAAGAGGGGATGAGTGGGACGAGCCGTGCCACCAACGTGAGGGTGAGCGTGGGAGACTGCTCGCGGTCCAGCCTGCACCGCGTCGTCACGCGCCCAGTGCGAGCATCCACCCGGAAGCAGGACCACGACGATGATGACGATGATGAGGAAGGGGTAGCAGCATCGTCGGGGGCGAGGCTATAGTGCACCCCCCACTGCTCGTGCGTCGTGCCGTTGCCGCCTGAGCTGCGAGCTTCCACTCCCAACCGCAAACCTGCTCCGCTTCTACTCCCGGATTCAAATCCGGTTCCTGTTTTAGATCCGGATACAGATCCGGTCGCGACATCCGATCCAATTCCGCCCGCTGTTCCAATCTCGATTCCAGTCCCGGTTGTGGTCTGGGTTCCGGACGCGGTCGCGGGCGCCGGTGAGAAAGGCGTGAACGCGCGGAGCGTCACCACGTGCGTTCCGGGCGTGGCGCCTTCCGGCACTGAGGCGCGGATCTCGGGAGTCGGGAAGAAGAGCGAGGGGAGGATGGGAGCCGACCCCGGCGGCGTCGGTTCCACGGAGACGGTGACGTGCAGCGAGGACGACAGCGCAGGGGAGCCCCTGTCCTGAGCCACAACCTCGAATGCGAATCTGCGGGGACAGCAAAATGGGACAAGCGCACGAAGGAGTTTGATTTATGGAGTCTGGGATCGCAAGACACCACCGGTGATTCGTAGGCATGGAACGACTCATTCACCAGGCGGTGATTTGACAAATCATCACAATTGAGGGTTATGATCCGATTAATTTTTACTGTCTCATTTGCATAGTTTCTACTTTTTTTGTGTCTCGTTTGGTAAGTTTCTTTTCTCAGTTAACCTGAATTTAATGGCAGAATATAATTTGCATACCGTTTTTATTAATTATAAACAAACAACTCTCACGTCCAAGATTTGTGATGATATATTTTAGTGATTGCTTTACTAATTGGAATTAAATTGGTATTTTGTCAGGTGATCAAAAAATATTAACTAGCAAACAGCACATCACCCTATGATAGAGTGCAGCCCAGGAAAATGATGCCACATTATGTATGTATGTACATATGTAGCCAATGTAGCCAACAAAACTGTTAATCGGAGGTGCAATTAGCACAGCTAGCTAAAACATTAGAGGTAGGGGGGTGTGTGTAGGGGAGTAGAGTGAGATGAGTAGAGATATAGGCAGGGGTGAATCCATCGAGGATCTTGAAAATGATGTGACCTTGAAATTGATCTGAGATTGGATTTGGTGCCAATATTACAGTCAACGCATGAGAGCGCAAGTCATCTGAGAAAAGCTGCCCCATGTGACACACGCCGATGACTCGGAGAACTGGCAAAACTTCCGTTGGCATGAACATGGTGTTCTCCGGTAGCCTCACCGTGCCCCAGGAGCCAGGGCGGATGGGGCGACGGTGATGACCCCGGACCGCGGCTCCACCAGGAAGCGACCGTCAGCACCGCGCAGCGAGTACCACACGGAGCCGTGCTTCCCCGCGTCCTCATCGTGTGCCACCGCCACCAACACCACCACCGCCGTCACCGCTGAACCACCGCCACCGCCGCCGCCACCACTGGGCAGCAACCACAATCACGCGGCCACGATAACCATAATGTAACGACAACTGGTAAACAGGATGACCGCCTACGCCAGCACCACCACAGCAATAGTGATAGGCAGTGTTCAACCACAGCGAGCATTTACCGTCACTGACAAACCACCACCACTGGGCAGTCAGCACGATCACGGCCAAGACGACCACGGTAAACTAATAAACACGATTACTCTCGCCGCACATGCACCCTTTTGCTCCTCTTACCTCCTCGCCGCTCGAACATCAAAAGTGGGCGACTCGAGCCGCACGTCCACGTGGTCACTCGGGAAGCGCGGGGCGTTGTCATTGACGTCGAGAACTGTGACGCTTACGCTCGCCACCGCCTCCTCCTCGTTATTATCGTTATCCTCGTTATCGCCCTCGTCACCAGCAGGCCGAGCCGACCCAGGTCGGGGTCGGGATCGGGGTCGGGGACCAAGGAAGGAGGCACGCACGCGAGCGGAGATGTGCGGGTTCGACTCCCGGTCGAGGGGGGCGGCTGTGACGAGCAGGCCCGAGGTCGGATGCACGGAGAGGAATGGACCAGCGCCCCAGTACATCACGCCTAGAACACAAGGACAGGACACCGGTTGGGACCGGGGGACAGTGGGACACACAGAGACGGGGACATGGGACAGGGGGACATAGGACAAGGGGGCACAGCGACTCGGGGACAGGGTGATGAAATGTGTGGGGGAAAGAGAAAATGACAGAACATGTGGGATAAAATAGAGGTTACGGGACAAAGTGAAATGGAGAAATTAGGAAGAGGGGGAAAGAGAAACAAAGGGGATGTGGAGACATGAGACAAAGGGACATCGAGATTCAATACATGGGCACGGAAGTTGTACTTGTAACAATTCCTGTCTGCACAGTAGGTGCGCAAAAATGCATCAAATAATGTATTAAAGTGATTTTTTTACGTTTAAACTGCACACGCTGAAACGGACGTGCAAGGATAGATTATTTATGGTTAATGCAGTTTTTCGCAAATTATGTGCTAAATCTACAGTAAGGCCAATGGAGCAAGCAAAAACTGTATGAGACAGGAAAAAAACGAGACACAATACAGTATATGTGTGTATATGTATAAATGTGTATGTACAGTACTTATGTATATCTTGGTATGTATATCGCTGTGTGTGTGTGCGCGCATGTGAGCGAGCGACTGGGATGATCCTTTGCCCGGACCGCACTCTTTAAGAACGACTTAACCTCAGCCAACCGCCTCACACCGTCTGTCCCCATCTTAACCTCAGCCAACCACCCTGTGCCGTCTGTTCCTATCTGTTTGTGTGTGTGACTGTGTGCGTGTGTGTAAAAACATCGCCATTGTGGAGACAAAGGCGGTCGGGGGTGGTGGTGGCCACCCACCCTCTTGTGTGCCGTGCCGGCCTTCATAGGTGCTCACAAACAGCACTTGCCCCTACAGTTCGTTAAGTCTATATGGGGAATCTTTGTATTTTACTGTGTTACTGTGGGTGTGTATGACTCCAATCCTGGTAGCCCGAGTTCAGCTCACAGCCTTGGCTAATTTCAGTGGTGATTAAGTGAACAGGTTCTGGGACTCCCTTAGGTCGACTCAATCATAAATGAGTGCCTGGTATATAATGCGTAAACATCAGCACTTGGAAAACAAAGGCAGCCGGGCATGGAATTGGCTGCACCACACCCTTGTGTGCAATGATGACCTTAATAGACATTCGCAGACAGCGTGTCTGGCCCCAACAGTCTATAATGCTCAAAGGTAGGATCCATGTCCTACCTTTGAGTAGGACATGCATGCATGCGTCTGCGTGCGTACTTGTTTTAAGTTCAAATGTTCAACCTTCACCAACGTAAAGCCAAACTAAAGGTCCTTTATGATTATTACTAAGGTTCAATAACAATAAATCAGGCTCATACAGAACCAGACTAAGGCAGCCTTAGGATTATTTCTTATATATATAAAAAAAAAACTTTAGATATATTTTCCTGCGGGGTTTCATTCCATTCGCCACCCTCGGCGTTGCCCCGCAAGACCACGACGGTGAACAACTTCCACTCCGACGCTCTCCCAGCGAGCAGCGCACCACCCCGCTTCGCCGGCGTACCTGCGTGGGCACCGGTGCCGGTGACAGTGCCGATGGGCGTCCCCACGGGCGCGTCCTCGCGCACCGAGAACGAGAGACGCGGCCTCGCGAAGGTGACGCGGGGCCCCGGATCCGGGGATCCCGGGGCGCCCTGGGAACCCGGGGATCCTGGGGAGCCGCGGCGAGGGGGAGCCTCGGGTGAGGGGGACCCGCCGCGGGGTCGGGAGGGCCCCGCCGCGTCCCCCAGCAGAGATACGCGGACGCGAGTCTCCGAGAAGAGGCCTCCCTGAGAGATGCCGAAGCATAGAGACGGGGTTATGGAAGGGAAAAGGGGGATATATAAACGCAGACAAGAGGGCAGAGAGAGAGAGAGAGAGACGGGGAGACAAATACAGAGATGAACGGAAACATACGGACAGATACAGACAGAAACGTACGCACACAGAGAGATGGATACACAGAAACACAAAGATAAATAGACAAACACAGACAGAAGTAAGAATTCAGAGGAGAGAGAGAGCAACAGACACACAATGCAGACAGAGATTCACAGAGACATAAGCAAACACAGACACAGATACCGAGACACACATGCACAAATATTCTCACACATAAGCACACAAATTGGCACATGTATAGAGAAATAGGGGCACAAATACAGAGACATACAAAGAAACAAACACAGAAACTCCCATACAAAGGCAAACCACAACACAAAAAGAGAAGGAGACCCACAAAGACAAAGGAAAACACACACAGAGGTTATGCCATTAACAATGGGAATAATATTAACACTGCTTAATTGATATCAATACGTGTAAACATAAATATATCCAAGCAGTTTTATTCACTCGCTGGCAAACACCACTCAGTATTTCAGCGAACCATGTTCAAAATGGAGTTGGGTTGACTGGAAAACATGGACGTCATCATTGTTACCACCACTATGAGCCACGATCACTGCCCTGCTGAATGAAGGCCTCCCAAAGCCGTTGCCATCTCACACCGGTAAGCGATGACCCAATCCACCTTGCCACTGCACGCGAGCTGATTTCATCGCTCCATCTCCGCAATTTTGTTAAACACGGTTGGCTACGTACGGTGCAAAAGAAGTTCAACATGCATACATTGCGTGTCCCCTCGGGCCTGTTCCCTCCCTTTGCTGGAACCCATGGACATGTTCCACGACAACTCATAAGGAAGCCTATGGCAGAGCGTCACATAGGTTGGAACCCATGGACATGTTCCACGACAACCCATAAGGAAGCCTATGGCAGAGCGTCACATAGGTTACGGTCGAACCCGCCACCACAGATGAGAATCGAACCCGGAGTCGGCGTGGCTGCAGGGCGTGCGATAGCGGCGTTGCCATGACAACGACCTCCTCCCCCTGCCTGGTGCCACTCGCTCGCTCACACAGGACCCCTGTACGGGGGTCCCCCGACTCTCCCACCCCGCTGTGAGACCAAGGGTCAAATGGTACACTCTTGCTGGTGGCAAACTTCCCCTGAGGGATACACGCACAATGATGAGGCGTGGCAGCGGCGACGCACGCCTGTGATCACGGCGCCCTCTCGACATTCTAAAATGAAGGCTGAAAACTTTATGCGTTAGCCAAATGAGACACGCAGAGAATACATTTCCTTAACATATTCGTCTCTCCAGATACAAAATACAATTATTTATTCCGCAACCATCAGCCCCCACCCCGCAACCCGGCCTTCTGGGCATGCATAATTTAAGCAGAATTTGCTTGAATTGAATCAATGCTGCTGAAATTATACACTCCCAGGGGTTGCATGAAAAAAAGACTTACATTTTATGTGGAGAGACAAGTATGTATGGAGGCATATTTTTTTCGCATGCATTTTATTAGGGGCCGTCCATAAATGACGTCACGCGATTTATGACGATTATTTACCCCCCCCCCCATCGTCACACGGCGTCACAAAAAGTCAGACCCCCCCCTCAAATATGACGTCACAAAGCTCTGCCCTCCTCCCCCCCAAAAATTAAACATGCTTCAAATCGCTTTAAACTATTGTGATTGTAGTGCGTATTTAATGTGGCGCTGCACTCTGATGTTGTAGGAGAAAGCATTTATTAAAAAGTCTATTTAATTAAGTAGAACGTGTTGTCTATATTCATTTAAAGTTGCGCATTTTGATGTGACGTCACATTTCTCAACCCCCCCCCCCCAAGTGCGTGACGTCATTTATGGACGGCCCCTAACTTATATTCTCTACAAAGAAGCAAATTATTATTTTGTTTAAGCATTAGCTTTGTCCGTAACAGGGGGGGGGGGGGGGCATGATAACGCTTGTGAAGTAAACCCAACATGAACCATTCTGTCGTATAAAGTTGCATTGCTATCCCAGCCAAACTGATCAAAGGGTTGCTCAGGACTCTAATTGGAGACACGAAGCAGAACCAAAAGGACTTTGCAAATATGCAAATTAATGTTTTCCCCTGATGGCTACTTATCTGCTTCTGTACCGCTAAATTTAATACTTCTGAAGGTTAACACATGTCGAAAAGGATTTGCAGAATACATGCTGCATTTGTACACGTACATATATGTGGTCATTATCAGTAGCCAATGCAGTTGTAACATTAAAAGTCAATCTCAACGTCTCTCCGCTCAAACGACCACGGAGATCCAACACTCATTTCAGCGCATGGAGAGGCGCATGTCTGGATTTATCCTGACAGATGAGAAGAGGGACACTTATTGTAGATAATATCCAAGTTAAAGACAACATATTGCCTGTTAATCGAGGGTCAGTGGGTTTGGGAAGGTCGCATCTTTCGAAGGGACGATGGTCGGTGGTGGCAGAAAAATTGACAGTGGCAGTCGAAAGAGGGAGCATGCCTGAGAGAACCACAACCACGGAGATGGAGCGATGAAATTAGCTCGTGCGCAGAAACTAGATGGGATTTTCGCATTGCAGGACTGTGAGTAATGGTGACAGCCTGGTAAAAGCCTTCATCCAGCAGTGGCGGATAGACCATGGTGGATGATGTTGGATGAGGCATCTGATTTTCCAATTATGCGAGATCAAAAAGGAAGGGGATGTTTTTTCGACGTGTTTGTTTAAACATTAAAACACAAATTAAGCTTACAATTTAAATACAAACACACATGTATCAGCACACACACACATAGCTATACAAAATACACACAATGACAAACAACAGAGACACACAGAACAAAGATCCCCATTTAGCCTCATGGACCGTGGGGGCATTTGCCGTTAGCTATCACCAATTAAGGCAGTGCGGCACGTACAATGGGGGTGGTGTGGACTGCCGCCACGCCTGGCCGCCTTTATATCCCCATTGCTGATGCTTAAACACCGCACCAGCTACTCATTGAGGGAAAAGTGGATTACAGGGGAAGGTCAAGATAGGTTCAGGTACCACTCGTCACTGATGTTAGCCGTAGCTGGGAACCCAATGAATAATAGTGCAGAGTGGGAACAACTGTACCACCACCACCACCACCTCTACCCGCGTACGCTTACAAGCGTATACGCGTAAACAAAGGCAAAGATCCTCCGTGTAGCCTTCACATGCTACTGGGGTCAGTGCTGTTAGCGAGCACCTCTTTAGGCCGTCATGGTACATGAGAGGGTGGTGTGGTCTAATACACACGCGCACACACGCGGACACGCGCGCACGCGATGGCTGATGGCAGAGACGCGCGACTCCGTGAGCGGTGGTGTTGGCAGATGGTAATTGTGTGAGATTTTTGTGGAATCCCTAAAGAGACACAAAATTAAACCAGATCACAACGGCTTTACCCGAGCCGGCACTCACACTCGCGTAAGCGCGCAGTCATTGCACTCACGTGTACATGCTCATTAAACCTGCACTCACACACATGCACTCACGTGTACATGCTCATTAAACCTGCACTCACACACATGCACTCACGTGTACATGCTCATTAAACTTGCCCTCACACACATACACTAACGTGTACATGCTCAATAAACCTGCACTCACACACATGCACTCACGTGTACATGCTCATTAAACCTGCACTCACACACATGCACTCACGTGTACATACTCATTAAACCTGCACTCACACACATGCACTCACGTGTACATGCTCATTAAACCTGCACTCACACACATGCACTCACGTGTACATGCTCAATAAACCTGCACTCACACACATGCACTCACGTGTACATGCTCATTAAACCTGCACTCACACACATGCACTCACGTGTACATTCTCATTAAACCTGCACTCACACACATGCACTCACGTGTACATACTCATTAAACCTGCACTCACACACATGCACTCACGTGTACATTCTCATTAAACCTGCACTCACACACATGCACTCACGTGTACATGCTCATTAAACCTGCACTCACACACATGCACTCACGTGTACATGCTCATTAAACCTGCACTCACACACATGCACTCACGTGTACATGCTCATTAAACCTGCACTCACACACATGCACTCACGTGTACATGCTCATTAAACCTGCACTCACACACATGCACTCATATGCAAACATGCTCATATGTTCACTAAAAAACAACTCTTACATACTATACTCTCTCATATACATGCATGCACACACACACTTAATGCTCACGAAACACACTCGCACGGTCACAATTGTAGGTACTGATGCTTCCACACCCATAAATACACTAATTAAAGACAAAGACACTCAAAAACACGCACACGTCACAAGACACACACACGCATGTTACACACTCATTAAACACACTGAACACTAACACACACTCAACCCACTTACGTGGTCACTTGACGTGTAAACACACAAACTTAACACTTGTACGTTTACACACTCACTAAAACTCACAAATACAAAGACCTCCGTATAGCCTTAACAGACTGTTGGGGCAAGTGCTGTTAGCGAGCACCTATGAAGGCCGGTAACGGTACACGAGGGGATGGGTGGCCAGCACCACGCCCGGCCGTCTTTGTCTCCCCAGTGGCGATGCTTACACACCGAACCAAGTACTCATTTGAGTCTCGGTTGACCGAGGGGAGGCCCAGGAAAGGTTCAAATAATTATCCCTGGTGTTGGCCGTGAGCGGGAATACGAACTCGGGTCGCCGGATTCATAGCGCAGTGCCCCAACCGCTACACCACCGCTCCCCACACTCGGGTGGTGTGGCCAAACTAAAACTCACGGACTCAAGTCACTGGTTCAGAAGTGGGATACATTAACAACTACTCCACCAATGGTACACGTGCGTAGAGGTAATGATCCCCTGCCTGG